CCAGTGGTTTTTAAACAAGGTGTTATTCAGTTTCCATATATTTGATTTTTTTCCTTGCTATTCCTGTTATTGATTTCTACTTTTATAGTGTTGTGATCAGAAAAAAATGCTGTGTATTATTTCAATGTTTTGGATATTGTTAAGGCTTGCTTTGTGGCCTAAAATGTGGTCTATTCTGGAGAATGTTCCATGTGCATTGGAAAAGAATGTATACTTTGCTGCTGTTGGGTGTAGTGTTCTGTATATGTCTATAAGGTCAAGTTGGTTGATTGTGGCCTTTAGATCTTCTGTATCTGTTATGGATTGAATCGTATGCCAAAAAAATATGTGTCAACTTGATTAAGCCATGCTTCCCAGTATTGTGTGATTGTCCACCATTTTGTCATCTAATGTGATTTTTCTGTGTGTTGTAAATCCTAATCTCTGCCTGTGGTTAATCCGGCATGATTAGATTATGTAGGGGAGGATTAGGATGGATGTTACACCCTTGCTCAGGTTGCATCCCTGATCTAATGTAGGAGTAGTTTCCCTGGGGAGTGGCCCGCACCACCTTTTATCTTACAAGAGAAAAAAGGAAAGAGTAGTGAGCAGAGAGTTGGGGACCTCACACCACCCAGAAAAAAGCACCAGGAGCACAGCACATCCCTTGGACCTGGGGTTCCTGCACGGAGAAGCTCCTAGTCCAGGGGAAGACTGATGACAAGGACCTTCCTCCAGAGCCAACAAAGAAAGCCTTCCCCTGGAGCTGATGCCCTGAATTTGGACTTGTAGCCTACTAGACTATGGAAGAATAAATTTCTCTTTGTTAAAGCCATCCACTTGTGATATTTCTGTTTTAGCAGCACTAGATAACTAAGACAGTATCTTTGTTGAGTTTATTCCTAGATGTTTTGTCCTTCAACGAATGTGGTGTGTTGAAGTCTCCTACTATTACTGTGGAACTGTCTATTTCTCTTTTCAATGCTGTTAGAGTTTGTTTTATGTAGTTTGGAGCCCTGTCATTGGGTGCATATATATATATTTATTATGGTTATGTCCTCCTGGTGGATTGACCCTTTAATCATTATATAGTGTCTTTCCTTATCTTTTATGGTGGATTTTGCTTTAAAGCCTATTTTATCAGAGATTAATATTGCAGCTCCTGCTCTTTTTTGAGTGTTATTTGCTTGATATATTTTTTTCTATCCTCTAGTTATAGTTTGTTTATGTCTTTGTGTCTAAGGTGTGTCTCCTGTAAGCATCATATTGATGGATCATTTTTTTAATCCATCTTGTCACTCTCTGTCTCTTTACTGGTCTATTTAATCCATTTACATTCAGTGTAACTATCGATAGGCTTGAGTTTACTGCTGTCATTTTGTGGTACTTTTTTTTGTATTGTTGATGGTTTGTTTGTTTGGCTTAATTTTCTGTGTTGAGTTCTTTTTGTCTGTGGATTTTCTTTTCATTTCTTTCATTATTTTTTATTTTGTTTTACTGAGTATGTTTTTCTCGTGGTAAGTAGGTTTGTTAACTTTCTTTGTGGTTACTTTGAAATTTACCTTTATCTTCCTATGTTTAAATCAGTCTTTTGTTTCTTGATATCATCTTAACTTCCTCTCCATATGAATGTTCTACAACTACACCGTTTATTTGATTTCCAAGCTTTTTAGGACTTTAAAAAGTCTTCCTATGGGAATTCTGAACTTATGTCTTCACTTATACACCTATCTTTTATATTACAGAAGATATATTAGCGATAAGTTTGCAATTTATAGTCAAAGTAAGAGCTTGTTTCTTTTGTGCCCTGATCATATCTATGGAATGAATTGGCAAGCATTCTTTTTTCTTTTAGTTTTCAGTTTGTACCTGGCTGTGTTTGATGGTACAATCAATGGTTCTTCACTAGAGTTCTTGAAGTGAAGAGCTGCTTGAATTAGGGTGGCTGCTCATCATTTTAAGCATGTTTGTCAGGTTACCTATTGAGTTGTTGTGCCATCGAGTCGTTTCCAACTCATAGCACCCCTATATAACAGAGTAGAACTGCCCCATAGGGTTTCCTAGCCTGTAATCTTTATGGGAGCAGATCACCAGGTCTTTTCTCCCATGGAGCAGCTGGTGGGTTTGAACTGCTGACTTTTTGGTTAGCAACGGAGTACTTAACCATTGCACCACCAGGAACCCTTCATATTGACGTTAGCGCCCTGTATTTGACTTCCCAATCAGTCCTTTTGAGTTGAGCATCTAATCAAAGATAAGGATGACCCATGTCTTATTTTGTAAGTAATTGAGCTTTCCACATGGTACATGTTGACAAGCTTCCTAACAAATGGGAATCTGATCAATAAGGAACATGCTGCAACATGGACTTAATTCAGCTTTGATGATCCCAGCCGTTTATTTTTCATGCTTTGGAGTAAAAGAATGGAAAGGGTCATCAAGAGGAACGTTATGAATCACATTTATTCTCACTTTTATGTTTCATGATGAAATCTGTGTGGAAATTCAAGAGGGTCAGATACAAAGCTGGGTGTGTAACTCAGTGTCACTTTGTCCGAAGTCAGTACTCCTTGTTCTCAGCAACATTCTCACCTTGTCGGTGATGCTGCTCAATGATAACTCTGTGCCTTCTGTTTCCTTTCCTGTGTTGCCTCCTTTCACTATGTTTCCAACTCAGAGCTTGATCATTTCTGAAAGTAGTAACATCGTCTCTTTTAACCATTATTTCTTTTTTTTTTTTTCTCATTAGTATGGGAATGTCATTTTATCGGCCCAACTGTGGGATACAATTTAGGATAGAAAATATTGGTATGTTTTTCTTATATTTATGGATGTTACATGTTGTAGAATCTCATAGAATGTAAGGGACTCTAAAGAGCATTAGTCATATTGCCCTCACTTCTAAAATGAGGATAGTGAGGCAAGGGGTAGGTAGCGACTTGTTCAAGATCACAGAGCGCCTCAGTGGCCTAGCCAGCACTAGGCCTAGGTCTTCCCACTCCAAGCCCATGGCCTTTTCTTTTACGCCGAGGCCTCTCTTATTACATGAATGGATTAAAAAATTGTAGATGACAATGGTTCCTGTATCTATACAAGAAAGAGCCTGAATGGCATGGGAGGAATCAAATTGTACATATTAGAACTTTCAGATCTGCCATCTGACATCTAATGCATTAGTTTATACTGATAGGTATTCCTCCTAATCAAAGCTGGGGGTCAATTTAGATTTCTGATTATGTAGGAATATTTGTATGTCAAATGCTTTCTTGGAGCCCTGGTTGTGCAGTGGTTAAGTGCTATGGCTGCTAATCAAAAGGTTGGCAGTTTGAATGGCAGTTTGAATCCACCAGCTGCTCCTTGGAAACCCTATGGGGCAAGGGGTTTGGTCTTTTTGGTTTAATGCTCTCTCATTTAAAAGGTAGAACAAATCTGGGCACTGCCACTTTTGCAGACTCCTGAGGGCAGAAAGAGTTCTAGTCCTTTTTGCGTTACTCCTATTGTCACCCCTCCTCCATGCCTCCGTGCCTAAAAATGTCAGTGTGCGAGACGTGTTTGTGGCTGTCATAAGCACATTCTTGTATCTGAGGAAACAGGTAACATTGAAAGAATAATTGTGCTCTGCAGTCTGGAGGTGAAGACACAAAATGGTAATGTGCATGCCTTGACTTGGGACATAACAGGAGCCAGGGTATAATTTTTTTAAATTACAAGCTATTTTTAGGAATTGGTTCATATATCCTGACAAATTGCAGATTTACAATGGCATGTATGTTATGAAAATAAAATTGCCAATTGATTGTTTTATGTTTGAAACTGAGGCAGAGTGTGTGTGTGACATCATTCTGTAACAGATATCCTATTCTCCTATCTAGTGTGGGCTCATTAGGACTGGCTTTCTTTATGCCTTTGAGCAGGGTCATGTGTCATAGGCCTCTTACCAGCAGAGACTAGCTCTTTGAAGGCCTCTTGTATGAGAGAGTAGCTGGGAAATAGGGCTTCTGTAAGAGAAGTGGAATTTTAAACATTAAAACGCACAATCCAAAATAACCTAGTTTGATGTCCCCTTTTCTCTTAAAAAGTTGTCCCTGCTCATGGATCAGAGGAAGAAATGAACTTTGATTTTTGGCCCTTGTTGAGTTCACTAGAATCGAACGTTACAAGTTAGCACATAAGATCTGGGACAAACTAAACCACTGAACAGTGCATGGACGCTCTACCATCTGTAATGATAAAAAGAGTTAATATGATCTTGTTTATTGAATACCTACTATTGTGCTAGGTATTTTACATTTACTTAGCACAGCACCTTGTGAAGTAGGTATTATTATGTCCAGTTTATAGATGAGGAAATTGAGACTCAGAAACTTGTTCATGTTTGAACAGCCAGAAAATGCACCAAGTTGGGATTTGAATCCAGGTCTGCTTGACTCAAAAGCCCTCATGCTTAACCACTCCACTATTCTCTCTGTCTTTTCTTGATTCATAAAATGGGATAATAATACCTACCTCAGAGTTATTCTAAGCATCTTATAAGATAAAAGATCCAAAAAGCACTCTGTAATACACTAGTAATGCTTTGCAGAATGAAAAGAGGCAGTATTATTGGCAGTAGAAGACAGTCCGCTACAGTGTCTCTACATGACTATCTACCCTTCATAGATATCTGGATGTCCTGGATTGTACATTTTGCCCTTGGCTTTCTGGTGAGTGAGAGTAGTTTATGTCCTGGCTGTAGGTTTTGAAAAGTACGTCATTGGTCCTCCTTAGCCAGGCATATTTTCAAGAACATGATTTCCTTGCCCTGTAGCTGAGAGGAGCAAAGAGGAGAAAATCAGCAGTGTGTCTATGGACACAGATCTATAGAGCCCAAGAGCTTTTTTTAGCTCAAGGAGTCATATGTAGTATAGTCCTAGCTGTACTTTCACATGAATGCTGTCCTCCCCGCCCCCCTCCCCCCCGCCTTCTTGTTTTTCATAGAAACCGAGCTGCTCCTTCGAGTAAAGGACATCAGTCATTTCTTGATGCAAGACATCGCCTTCTTGTCTGGTAAGCAACCTTCCTCATATTTTTATGTGAGATAAATGCATGACTCAATTAACAAAGTCAATTTGGTCCTTCTTTTATAAATAGCATTATATATTTTTAATGATGTATCTATGGTATTCCACCTCTCCCTGTTATTAGCTCTGTTATTAGGTGCATAAACATTTAGGGTTGTTACATCCTCCTGATGAATTGACCCCTTTATCATTATTAAATAATCTTCTTAATCTCTAGTAATATTTTATGTCTGAAATCTACTTTGTCTGATAGTAACATAGCCACCACAGCTTTCTTTTGACTTGTGTTAATTTTTTCCATCTTTTTACTTTTAAGTAATTTGTGCCTTTATATTTAAAGTGAGTTTCTTGTAGGAAGCATATAGTTGGGTTTGCTTTTCATCCAGTTTGATATTCTCTGCTTTTTAATTAGGGTGTTTAGACCATTAACATTTAATGTGATTATTCATATAGTTGGGTTTAAATCTACCATCTTACTATTTGTTTTCTATTTGTCCCATTTGTTCTTTGTTTTTTCTCTCCTTTTCTGCCTTTTTCTGGATTAAATATTTTTTATCATCCCATTTTATCTCCTTTGCCATTGTCATATTTTTTTTGCACATTTAATTTCTACCCACAGAAATTTTGTGGTCTTTCTTTTAATTAATAAGGTTCCTATACCATTATTGTTATTATTGTCTATGTTGTTTCTTCCATGAATCCATTAAAGCATCACTTTTTTCCTGTAGTTTTTAGCCTGTATCCATTCATGTTCACCATGACTCTAAGAGGCTGATTGAGTCAAGGCTTTCACTTGCTGTCAAGCAGTCAATCATTCATTTTGAATTTAAGGTTATAACATTGTTATAGAAACAGTTATTTCTCAATCCCCTTGGTTGTCCAGTTTGGGGAATCAGCTATTTTTTCAACCACATTTATTATATGCATTGTATGAAATTTTATTATGACTATATTCATTCATTTTACCTTTCTTTCTTTTTTTTTTTTCATTTAGAAACTACTCTGCCAGCTTTTAAACTTAAGGTTTCAGGCGCTCGTTGCCAGTTTGGTTTATGTGGAGATTATCATCCTCATAAAAGTTTTACTGGCCCAAAATAGTCTGCTAACCACCCCCCTCAAATCTAAAATCCTTTTTCTTGCATCACTGCCGCATAAATGGTTAACTTGGTGATGTTGTTATACTGCTTCAGGTGGCCGGGGTAAGGACAATGCTTGGATAATTACATTTCCAGAAAACTGTAATTTCAGATGTATACCGGAAGAAGTAATAGCAAAAGTGCTGACTTACTTGACATCTATTGCAAGGTAAACATTTCATTACATTTTTTTCCCAATTTATTTTATAGTGGACAACCATTTGAATGTAATAACAGGAAAATGGATTATTAGTATGACTATTATTATTATTATAGATAATCAGCAGACCCACATTCAGGTATGATAAGAAATGGAACTTAGAAGGGGAAACTGACAGTAACCTAAGTACTGTAAAAATTATACAGAGGATCTATGGAAAAAATTGGAGATCTAGAAGTATTTGTCTCTATGAAGGAGAACATAGGTTGAGAGTGGTGGTGGTACATAAAGCCTTAGATTTACCTAGAAGGAAATCTTACCAGCCAAGAGTGGGGACAGCCAGTCTTCCAAGGATAAAGCAAGAAGACATGCTAAATAGAATCAAAAGTGGTATTGGGAGAGAGTCATAGGAACTTTCTGATATTAAAAATAATTTGACGCTAAAATGTTTTAAAAGAGAAATTTTCAAAAGCTTCCTTAGAAAGTTTATTTATGTTGAAGATGAACTTTTTAAAGGAAATGTTTTCCAGTTTCTAACCCTGAAGCCTCCCTAAAGACTAAGATGGCACAAATCTAGGATGGTAAAATTGTGAAGAGTCTTATGAACAGAAATCAAATCGCAGAGCATTAAATTTATAGTGCACATACTGAACTTAGAAGTGGTCTTTTTAGGGAAAATAAAAGTTCTGTTATCCATTAGACTGTATTTGTTCAAGATGCAGACTAGAAACAGGAACGCATATTTAGCAGTGTTTTCCTGAATGAATGGATGGTTGGCTAATGACGGATTGCCATGCGAAGTGAAGTCTGGTGTCATGAAGGACAGGTTTTGTCTATCAAGTTTTCCCTCACCTAAGACTGCAGTATTCCACATCCATTTGAATTATATGTCTGCATTACACTACCACTTTCCTGTATAAAAGACCGACATTCATGCTGAAAAATAGATTTTCAATAGTGAGGAGGTGAACATGGAATCAAATTGGTTTTCCAAGGTAGTGCTTTGTGATAGCGTTCCAAATCCAAATCTCTCTTTGGTCATGACATCAAATATAAACGAAATAATCAGACGTAATGCCATATCTAGCAAATTCAGGTTATTACTATGAAAAACTTATTATTTCCTCTTATCTTACACCAGGCAAAATGGATCTGACTCCCGGTTCACCATTATTCTGGATCGAAGATTGGATACATGGTTTTCTCTCAAAATCTCTCTACAAAAAATTTCAGTAAGTGCCTATACATTCTATAGTAACTTCTTATTTTCATTTTATATTATACTTTCTGTTTTGGGGGGTACGAAGAGAGTGTTTGATACTGATGGAGACAATAAAAATAGATGGGATGATGAGGTGGGAAAGTAGGATGAAGAGTTGGTAGGGAAAATTGAGTTAAACAACTCCATTCAAAAGAAAACCTATTGGGAAAGAATGGATCTTTAGTAGCTCAAGTTGTGCATGAGAAGAGACTCAAGGTTTCCTGTGAGTTTCAGAGTAAGGCAAGTTTTTATGGGGACTTTCATTTTTTGAAAACGGAAATAGCTTTTCTGTATACTCATTGTCTATGGAGAAGTATAAAGAAGAAAAAAAATCATCAGTAATCCAAGTACCCAGAAATAAACACTTTTAACATATTGATGTGAATCTTTCTAGACTTTTTTTTTCCTGAGATAGAGAGCTGAGTCAAAATGACATCTCCACTTCTAGAATCTAAGCCCTGCTTCTTCTCAAGGCCCAGAGAGAGAAAAAACAATTTCCCTAAAGGAAACAATACAGAGATGCAATCCTGCTCATAACCAAGATGATCTTTTACATTATTAGTATATATAATATTAGTATACACATTATTAATATATACATTATTACTTTAGTATATACATTATTAGTTTATAATCACTAGTATATAGTGAAGGAGCCCTGGTGGTGCAGTGGTTAAGCACTCAGCTGCTAACGGAAAGTTGGTATTTGGAACCCACCAGCCTCTCAGCGGGAGAAAGATGTGGCAGTGTGCTTCTGTAAAGATTACAGCCTTGGAAACCCTATGGGGCAGTTCTACGCCATCCTGTAGGGTCATTATGAATTAGAATCAGCTCGATGGTAATGGGTTTGGTTTTTGGCAGTATATAGTGATATTGTCTGACATTTCCCTTTCACAGAAGAGGACGAGGGGTGAATCCTTCTGAGCTGGCAAGATTAGGACTGTATGTAGAATTACCGTGTAGCCAACTTCCTCTATCAGACCAGAGTATCTGGGAATCAGTAAGCTTTTTTTCTTTGAGATTCCAGCATCATCAACCACCTGAAACTCTTACTTTGTCTCCTGATTGACCTCAGGAGGCCATTCCCATCAGAGGAAGTTGGTTGGACAGGTAACATGTCACACTGTGATTTAGTTGCAAAGACAAGACAAAAATCTAGGTTGTTGGACTTGTAAGCCAGTGTTCTTTTTGCTGCACCATCTTGCAAATGAGAGTAAAAAAATATATACTAGCACACATATGGTAAAATGAATCAGATCATCATTCATTTAGTACCTAGCATGAATTATTCCTCATCTTGGGCAAGTCAGTGGTTTTTTTGTTCAACACAGGTGTTTAATCATAGGCAGTGGAGAGAAGAGTTACACCAGATTCACATAGGTTATTGAAATCAAATAGCATAAGCTTGACTTTGTATATTTTTGGAAAGCATTGAAATTTCTTTTTGATTTTTTTAAATTGTAGTCTAAATGAAGTTTACATTTCAAGTTAGTCTCCCATACAAAATTTTATACATACATTGTTATGTGACCCTAATTGCTCACCCCATTCTGCGACAGCACACTCCTCCTTTACGTCCCTGATTCCCCATGTCCAATCAACCAGCTCCTAACCCTCTTGCCCTCCCATCTCACCTCTGGACAGAAGCTGCCCCTTTGGTCTCTTGTATCTACTTGAGCTAAGAAGCACACTCCTCACGAGTATCACTTTATGTTCCACAGTCCAGTCCAATCCCTGTCTGAAGAGTTGGCCTCGGAAATTGTTTTACTTCTGGGCTGATAGAGAATCCAGGGGCCATGCTTTGCGGGGTACCTCTAGTCTCGGTCAGACCATTAAGTCTGTTCTTCTTACTAGAATTTGAGTTCTGCACCCTATGTTTCTGCTAGTCCATCCGGGACTCTCTGTTGTGTTTCTTGTCAGGGTGGTCATTGGTGGTAGCCGGGCACCATCTAGTTCTTCTGGTCTCAGGCTGATGAAGTCTCTGGTTTATGTGACCCTTTCTGTCTCTTGGGCTA